TTCAAATGATTGACATTAATTATATAAGCTATTCATTGAGATGAGACATTGCTTAGCCATACAAGTTATTGCCATCCAAGTACATGGCATACACTGAGACATTGCTTAGCCATACAGGTTATTGCCATCCAAGTACATGGCATACACTGAGACATTGCTTAGCCATACAGGTTATTGCCATCCAAGTACATGGCATACACTGAGACATTGCTTAGCCATACAAGTTATTACCATCCAAGTACATGGCATACACTGAGACATTGCTTAGCCATACAAGTTATTACCATCCAAGTACATGGCATACACTGAGACATTGCTTAGCCATACAGGTTATTGCCATCCAAGTACATGGCATACACTGAGACATTGCTTAGCCATACAGGTTATTGCCATCCAAGTACATGGCATACACTGAGACATTGCTTAGCCATACAAGTTATTACCATCCAAGTACATGGCATACACTGAGACATTGCTTAGCCATACAAGTTATTACCATCCAAGTACATGGCATACACAGAGACATTGCTTAGCCATACAAGTTATTACCATCCAAGTACATGGCATACACTGAGACATTGCTTAGCCATACAAGTTATTACCATCCAAGTACATGGCATACACTGAGACATTGCTTAGCCATACAAGTTATTACCATCCAAGTACATGGCATACACAGAGACATTGCTTAGCCATACAAGTTATTACCATCCAAGTACATGGCATACACTGAGACATTGCTTAGCCATACAAGTTATTACCATCCAAGTAGCTACATGGCATACACTGAGACATTGCTTAGCCATACAGGTTATTGCCATCCAAGTACATGGCATACACTGAGACATTGCTTGACCATACAGGTTATTGCCATCCAAGTACATGGCATACACTGAGACATTGCTTGACCATACAGGTTACTTCATAATGTAGTTGTTTTTCTAAACCACGTTAGCTAATCAATAAAAGGTTACATTACCTGTCAGTCGAGACTCGGCAAGAGAGATGCTTGCATCATATTACATCCTGTTCGGTTTTTTAATAGTAGGCCTACATGTATTTAATGTTCGTTTTGTGTATGTGTTCTATTTTAAACTTTGACGTGACCATGTGTGTCGAAAAACCAAGATTTTAACCTTCAAGTTCTGGATCTGATGATGGCAATATATTTGCCGAAACGTACGTAATCCTACTGGATTAACAAAACCCACAAGGCAGTCTGCAGGTAATGTAACCTTTTATTGATCATACAGGTTATTGCCATCCAAGTACATGGCATACACTGAGACATTGCTTGACCATACAGGTTATTGCCATCCAAGTACATGGCATACACTGAGACATTGCTTGACCATACAGGTTATTGCCATCCAAGTGCATGGCATACACTGAGACATTGCTTAGCCATACAGGTTATTGCCATCCAAGTACATGGCATACACTGAGACATTGCTTGACCATACAGGTTAATGCCATCCAAGTACATGGCATACACTGAGACATTGCTTCGCCATACAAGAAGTTATGTATACCTTGTAGTTCTGATTCTATCCTCTTATTTTATCAATGTAAACCAATTGAAAGATTCAGTATTTAAATCTTACAAAGGTTTTTATTTGTTTACACCCAAACATATCTTAATTTATAAAATGAATAAAATAAAATAGGTAACATACTTAACAACATGATGCTGCAAGTAAAAATTATGAAATAGGCAAGAAGCTCACTGATATTTCCAGAAATACTGGTTCTTCTAATGTATGATTGAAAACAGATATTTCACTCCACTGAGAAGTATGAATATAAAAATTCCATGTTGCTTCGAATCGAGTTACATCAACATTTTTTTAAATCAAATCGTTGCTTTGAGTTGAAATGTTTTGCTGCTTCACACACACCTACATTTAATACGGGATTTTCTTGGCATGTGATACGTTTCGATCGTCAGTGATTTTGCTGGGTCGTAAGTGACAACATATGTTGACGAAGGTACCGTGACCGCGAGACGGAAAAAGGTGTAGTAACATGGAGAATGGACCGAGTTTTTGGTCGGGATTTATATAAAAATGGTAATGAAAAGTCGGGAAAAAGTCGGGAATTCCATTTGAGAAATCTGGTAGACACCCTGATGGATCACCGACCAAATAGTCCTACACATCGTAACAAGACTCCACCATATAGCTCTGATATTAACCATCGAGCCTATCAACCAAAAACATCATCTTATGCTATACGGACACCACACCAAGAACATCAAGAACCTAGAGAACACCAATATCAGCCATACAACCGTTTCAGACATGATCCTCGCAAAAACTACAATCAAAACCACAGACAGCATCCTTATACCAATACGCTCACTGATCAAAACCGATACCACCAAAGGCCTAATCAATACTATTACAATAACAGCAAACCATATCCTACAAATGAGCAAAAACAAGTATGTGCCATGATAAGTCAAGACAGTCCACATGACACAGCAACACAACAAAGATCTCCAACAAATTTCAACCCCTCATACACCAGCCAGGGAAACGACCCGTCGCTGTAGATGTAAGCCGAGGACCATCAACTACCAACATCATAACAACTACAGCGATATCAACAGCAAATATCCTCGAAAATAATTCTTTAAATAACCCTAACAATTTTTCGATAAATAATATAATGTGTGATCAAGATTTTTTATTAAATGAACCCACTGAAAATAATAAATTTCCTGTATCCAAACCAGTTAAATGCCCTGAAATAGATATTAGAATCAATAATCTCCCAACAAAAGCATTAATCGATACTGGTTCTACAATAACATGTATTTCCGAACAATGTTTCAAAGAGAATCAAAAAATAATTCAACCATTTGAAGAACTTCCTTTGTCTAATACGACAATAACTACAGCTACTGGTGAAAAATCAAAACGTGTTGCAAGAATCATTTATGCCCCTGTAACCATTGAACATCAGACCATCTGGCTTCAATTTCTTATTATACCTAATTTAATTAAACCTGTGATATTTGGTATGGACACATTAACAGAACTCCGACTAAAGATAGATTCTAATGAAAATAAATTAAGTTTAACAATTAATGATACTGATATTAATCTAAAATGTGACATGAGTATTAAAATGGGACAAGTATGTCAAATAGATATAGGCAATTGCCAAAGGCCATATGATAACTACTATAACAATGAAGAAAACTATTTTACAATGTACAAAGAATATCACTTACCCAAGAAAGAACCACAGACCCACAATTACATGAAGACCTTCAAACCGATTTCCCCAATACTTGGACCATCAACATACCACATAAGTGATCTCTACAATGATAAATTATATGGACCCTATCATATATCCTCCATGAAGAAATACATGGAACCGATCTACACACCATAACCGAAGATAGAAGATAAACTGTAATGTGCGCTTAACCCAGTAAACATTGTCGTAAAAAGGAAGAATTTTAAATCATACCCACACAAGCAGTGAGTGAACAAGCCAATTTCTCCAGTTACCTCTGTCCTAATAGTTAAACTATAGTCATAATCACAAATTTAATGTATTTAGTTATAAGAGGTTATCATCAAGCAATCACAAACAACTATTCATTTAATGTATTCCATGGTACCTATAAGAATCATACATCTCTTATATATGTCTCATGTTCATTTCATATTTCAACATTTGTTCATCACTCCATTCATTTATTATGTAAAAAATAAAAAAAATTGTTTTAACCACTTAAATTAATGTTATGTTTTTTAATGTTTGTAGAAGATAGGAGGGGATAGTAATCATTTTGCTATTTTAGAATTATTTTATTGTTATGTTCTTTCCAACTGAAATTTGTTCTAGTTAAACCTTAATGTTAAGTTTGTTAGATTTTTGTTTCAACCCAATTTCATCTCAATATTTGTTATTTGCTGTATAATGTTAAATATATTTTTCGTCATTTAGCGAAAATATGTCATTAAAAATTTAATTACATATTTTCTGAGGGGATATTGTAATGACTCAAAATTCAATGTTTATAATTATAGTCCTTATTTTATTTTCAAACTCAATCTTGTTATATTTTCAATATTTATCCATGTCCATTTTTAATATTATTAAAACCATATTGTCTCAACATATATATAATTTACTATCAAAATTTATTCATTGGCTTATCCAAAATTATTATTCAAAAACAAATCCTCCAATCAGAAGACCATCCATCTGGGTTCAAGATTACCTATTAATAAAATTCAACCATGTTTTTATTTATGTGAACCCCATAACTTGATATGATTTACAACAATGAAAAGGAGAGTGCAGTTTAGCTATTCAAGAAGAGCACATAGAAACTATATTAGTTGTGAAATAAATTATGAAAATATAAAGTAAAGTATTGGCAAAATATCCAAATTAAGTTAACCGAAGAAAGAAGAATTTAAGCCTTTAAACTAAGAAGAAAATTATTATTACAGAAGATTGGTGAGAACATTCCATTTATTAACTCAGACTAACTTATAGACTCCTCAAGCATCCATTTGGACCCTATTTACCTCCATTAATTAAAATCAAAATCCTTCCTATTTAATTTATTGTTTTTGAAAGATTATTAAATTTATAATTTACCATACTCATTGAAAATTTAAATTGGAAATCTTTTGATTCGGCCAGCACGAATCCCCACCCCTGAACAATTTTTTTGTAACCCTATATTAATCATTTAACTTATGTACCATTAAACCTCATGCTTTAAAACCTCTGTCCTCAAATTATTATTGTTTAAGATAAGATTAGAATATAAACCATAGTAAGGGTTTATTTCAGATGGCTAGTAGTGCCGATTCATCGGTCAAGATCTATGGCGACCCTTATAGCAGAACTGTGTTGCATTATTTGTAGCTATAGACCCTACGCTCATAGGCGTCATGAAATATTTTAGTTCCAATTTTTTTTTATAGTTTTTCATAGGTTATTATGTTGTATTTAATTTGTTCCAGATCAGTGTTGCTATTGATGCAGCCTGCTTTCTTCTATTTTTTGTTACGGCTCAAGCATTATTGCTCTACTCCTTCGCCCTCATAATTGACAGCAGTGAAGTAAACGACATGGATCCTGAACTATGGTTTTTACGAGATATTTTGGTATCAATGGGTCTTATTCAAGTATCAGATTGAATATTTGAGACTCAGGTTTTTGACACCATGAAAGGCACGATGAAAGGATTCAAGGTGTCAGATGCGAAACGATCTAGAATAGTCGGAGTGGCCTGTAAAACCTTAGAAGAGTTGGTCAATAAAGGGAGAACAAAGCTACAGGTACGATTTATATTAGGTACTTGGATACTGAAATATTTTTGGGAACTACTAAATTATGACAGAGCTTTGTTTAGGCTTTGTTGTTAGCTTGTTACCTACATTTAAATCATAATAAATAAGCACAAAGTTTTAACAACATTTTAGTACAGTATCTATATATTTAATACACAGTTGTAACACTGTTTTCTCAGTAATTACTGGACCGATCTACAAGATTTATGTCTCAAATTAAAGGGGATAGTGTGTAGATTTGCCGAACTTCCTTAGAATTTACGTTTTTTCTAAGGGCTACGACCTACAGCCCTTTAAAGGTCGAGTCAATACAATTCTTATTGAAGAATATAATACACAGTTTATAAATTATTCGTCAGCTGTTTTAATGTTTGTCAGACATTTGTTATTATTTTTATAACCTCACTTTCAGTATGCAATTATTAAACTTGGAGTTTCTGTTTATAAACACACGATTTTGATCAAGGAAAGTGTATTTGTTAACTTATTTTTGAAATGTTTTAGTTTTCCTGCAAAGTGATCTGAAGGAAAATGGTAATTGAGTTTAAGTTTGAGTATGGAATGTGAAATAATACCCATAGTAGGGAACGGAAACTTATTGTTTTGATCAATATAATTTATTCTCTACGCCCACCAGAATAATCATGGGGAAATCCGCTCTGCAAGTTGTACATATAATTGCTAATGAGTGGGAAACATACAAACATTATATAGTAGGTGACGAATCTTACTCAAGATCAGTGTTAGACGTTCAGTGGTACCAAACTTTACCTTCTCAATGTGGCTGGGATACGTGGAATTACAATATATCAGTGATTTTTTTTTTCAAGTACACAGGGAAGTTGCTTGAGAAACTGTGACTTACCATTCGGTTCTGGCGAAGAAGTATGTGACTTGATGTTTAATGGTAATGTTGACTCCGGTCATTATAGCGTTATAAAACTTTATCATTAACCCCAGGGTGTGAAAAGTACAAAAAGAAAAAGAAAAGGTAATCATTAACCGGGCGTAAAGAGACATACCGAACGAAAAAAATTGTAGAGAACCATCGAACTAAAAAGGTAACGAGCGGTGTTAGTGTTAAATGTGCTCTGGGAGTCCCTACAAAAAAATACCAACTCTTTTGAATTGGGGTCGTTAGATTGGATTTGTCACTACTTCAAATCTATGAATTTCGAGTCAGAACAGACTAACTGGGACACAAAAATGTTTTAGTTTTCCTGCCAAGTGATCTGAAGGAACGTGGTAATTGAGTTTAAGTTTGAGTATGGAATGTGAAATAATACCCATATTAGGGGACGGAAACTTATTGTTTTGATCAATATAATTTATTCTCTATAGCCACCAGAACAATCATAGTGAAATCCGCTTGCAAGTTGTACAGATAATTGCTAATGATTGGTAAACATACAAACATGTTATCGTAAGTGATTAATCTTACTCAAGATCGGTGTTCGACATCCAAATTTTACCTTCTCGAGATGGCGAGTACGCTGGGATATTTGGAACTACAATTTATCAGTGAACTATACCCTAACTATATTTTTTCGAGTAGGCCTACACAGGGAAGTTGCTTGAGAAACTGTGACTTACAATTTCGGTTCTGGCGAAGAAGTATCTGACTTGATGTTTAATGGCAATGTTGACTCGGGTCATTATAGCGTTACACAACTTTATCATTAACCCCAGGATGTGAAAAGTACAAAAAGAAAAAGAAAAGGTAATCATTAACCGGGCGTAAAGAGACATACAGAACGAAAAAAAACATGTAGAGAACCATCGAACTAAAAAGGTAAAGAGCAGTGATGGTGTTAAATGTGCTCTGGAAGTCCCTTCTAAAAATACCAATTTTTTTGAATTGGGGTCGTTAGATTGGATTTGTCAGTACTGCAAATCTATGAATTTTGATTGAGTCATAACAGACTAACTGGGACATAAATATTTTTTTCTTATGTTGTCACAAGGGGAAGGTAAAATGAACTCCTTATCAACATTTAGAGTTTAAGGAAAATCTTATCAACGGCGACTATAAAAAAGTATTAAGGGTCAAAAGAGACAAAAAAACTATTTGAGTAAAATATAATACAAATCTGCATTTGAAATGGCCAGTTCTAAGTCTCACTTGAATCAACATCTTTCTGGTAGTGGTAGTCTACATAGTTTTAAAATCCACGACTCCTTTTCCATCAAATTGGACCATTAATACATTGAACAAAGTATGGCCAAAGTTATATATACGTCGTAAACACAGCTTTTACTCACAGTATGGGTCAAAGATTCGTGTAAAGTGACCAACTGCTGATGCGTGATTTACATGTAGGCTAAGTGACTATCTTTATTCTATACAACAAATGTAATGAAAAAAAACGACGAATATAGGAATATACTTGAACAAATTATCTAAATATCATAAATAGCTGCTTATTAGGTTATCAGCATTGCCCAGTTCATATACTATTTATTTTTCAAATGAAACTCGAATTAATATAAAACATTCATTTGGTTAAAATAATATATCGGTTTGATTAACATAAAATAGTTTATACAGGCAAACTATCAGTTCTATTTCATGTAAAAATTAAACAACCCCTAAATAAAATACAAAGATAAACAGTATTTGTTAATTATTATTTCTTTTATTGCTGACAATATTCCCGTGGCGGAGCACGGGTGGTTAACTAGTTCTTTATAAAGAAAAGCCTGCACATGAAATAAACTAAAATTGCACTTAAATATTTAACCAACAATGGGATTACATTTAATAAAACTTAAGACTTGTTCTTTTCAGATTCCCTCAAAGTCTAATGTTAGAGTTTTTCTACCAGATGGAACGGAAGTAGAGTCTGAAGAGTATTTTGTAACCTTACCAGCACAATCAGTCTTATTGTTAAAACAGGACAATGAAGATTTCTTAACAGGTAAGAAAATATTTGATTTTAGCAAATTTCCCATATTTCCACAAACATACCCAAACCCACCAGCTCTGAGACCACAACCACCCTGAGTAGATTAAACATAAATAAAATACCCTCGCTGCAGCAAACTTACATAGGTACTCAGCAAATTTCCATTTGCCTCATATGACTTTATTCTCTATAAGAATAACTTATTTTATCCGTAACCAGCAACCTTATAAAAACACTTCAAGATAGGCCTACTTAATTGTAATTTTTTTTCTCTCTACAAAATTATTTGGAGAGGAATTGGGAAATTCTATATCTACTAGGGCCAAACAAAATGAGAAAAATTATTTTTATAATCAGTAAAACCCCCTGCAACACACTCTTCCGATAGTCTGATCATGCTGGTTAGCGAAATTGTTCAAATAAACCTAGGTTCACATGTTTACCAAATTAAATCAAAATTGGATAATCTTTATACAATTTATTTTGCAGAAATATACACACACTATATAGGCTACATGCAATTGAACAGATGGTGTTTTTGGCCTGTGGGGACATCAAAATAAAAAAGTGAATTGGTCCCGGGTCTAGGTCTTACCATGAGACATGTGGTAATTTTATTCCGTAGTTATAAAAAAGCTTTCCACACATCTGACGTCTAGTATACGCCTCCACTAGTTAATAGGGAATGAATGATGAAAGTTGAGGTTTGTTTTAGGAAATTTGATACTAAATGTCAATTTAATTTTTCTATGTTAATTGCAGGGGGTGATTTTAATGCAAAGCATCAAGAATGGGGGTCACGTTTGGCTACACCCAGAGGCTACAGCAAATTTACAGCTAAACTTGGATGAAATTTCACATTGGTTTAAAACATGGAGGTTCAAAATTAATGAAAATAAATCAGCACACATTACTTTTACCTTAAATCAGGCTACATGTCCTCCAGTATCCATGAACAATATTCACCTCCCTCAAGTAACAGAAATAAAATACTTGGGCATGCACTTAGATGCAAAGCTTAATTGGAAGGCACATATCTGGACTAAAAGACAACATCTAAATTTAAAAACAACTAAACTTAATTGGCTTCTTGGATCTAAATCAAAACTCAGTACACAAAATAAATTGTTACTGTACAAAACAGTTCTAAAACCAATTAGGACTTATGGTATTCAGCTTTGGGGATCAGCAAGTACCTCAAACATTGAAATTATTCATCGTTACCAATCAAAATTATTACGTAAAATTGTCAACGCTCCTTGGTTTGTTACCAACAGAACACTTCACAATGATCTTCAAATTCGAACAGTCAAAGAAGAAATTACAAAATCTAGTGAAAAATACATTATAAAATTGGAAAATCATTCAAATCATCTTCCACTTAATTTACTGGACAATCACAACACCATTTACAGACTGAAGCGACATACGATATTGGACCTACCATTCAGACTCTGCTAAGTGTTATCAAAATTCTCTTTGTTAGCTAGTGTTGACAGTGGTCAATCACTAGCTCATGTTCTTCAAGTTATTTTTGTATTTTATATCATTTGCTAATTGTTCAACTTGAACAGATTGTAAATTAAATAAAGTTAAAAAAAAACTTAGGCCTACCAATAATTCACATGTTGAATGACATTTTTTTAAATTTTCAGGTGCTGATTTGATTTATAACACACTAAGATATGTCAACATTGATTTTCTCCGGGCTGGTGAAAAAGTTCGAGAGTTTTTTGATGAAAACATCAAAGAAAAAGTTCGAGTTCTGGCTGAAGTTTTGAGTGACAAAAAGAGCACTGATTGCAAAACATTTTTCAGTAGAAAAGATGATGACCCCGACTGGTTTTTGGGTAAGTAGGCTTCCATGGTAGGGATCTTATTCGAAAAATAAATCGTCAATTATTTTCTTGCAGTTCTGAGTTCTCCAACAGTAAATTCCTGCGAACCAGTAAGTTACCTAATAACCTGTCGGTTGGAATTGTTCGGCGAACCAGTGAAAAACTTTTAGGCAAGTTCCACTTAAAACCTATACTGGTGTTATTTATTACTACAAAACTGGGCAGCTTTGATAGTACACAATACATGCATAGTAGGCTAGCCGACAGTAGTGCTAGCTGGCATCCTAGCGTGTCAATCTGTCGTTTAGTACCACTCATAATTTAGAATTTTATTTGAAAAAAAGTCACATAGTTTTTTTAAATTAGTTAGCCTACATTTTTGTATTTCAATTTTATGGTCCTGTAAATTTAGTAGGCTACCTCTTTATGTCACAGTTTTATTTTTGCATATTTTCGCTCCTATTTTTTTACCTGGTATTTCTCAAACTTTGCACCCTTCTGCTCTACGTTATACAGAGTTTGTGAAACTGTACTATAAATGTGGTGTTGTCTGCATGTAGGTACATGGTTTTTCCAATAATTGCATTTTCAGGAGTTTAACTAAGACATTTTTACAGGTCTGGAAACCAACGCAACCACCAAAGAAGCGTTCATGTTCCGCCGAAGTCAGGAAAGAGTACGAGGCTACCTATATAAGACAAAGAGTGACATGAAAAAGTCCTCTTTATACACAAATAATAATGAGTTTAGAGATATATTAGATGACATATTTACAAACCTCTCAAAAACATTAAATAAAGATAAATATTTTGGCTGTTATTTCGACCGTAGTGCTGAAGGAGCTCTGTGTAATGATACTGGCGAGTTTAAATGCTCTGGAGTCTGGAAAAGTAAGGAGTGTTTGTACAATGGAGGGAAAAGCCATTTGATCAACCCCTACACGAGCAGAGAGGAAAGAATTGTCTTTTCAACTTGGAATCTTGATCATTGGTAAGTTTTTTAAATTTAATTGTTTTCAACGTCATTGACATTTTATTGGTTTAACTAAAGGAATAGTGCAAATCTTGATCTTTTTACTATCTAACTTAGACCTAAGAATTCTTTAGTGGCCTACATGAATGTGGGCACAAGAAACAAAAAACTTTATTACTGTATAACTATAACCAACTACTGTATAACCTTTAACCTTATACTTGTACACAAAATATTGGAGTATTTCACAGTCACTGACTGCATTCTCAACCAAGGAAGAGAGATTTTTCTTCAGGCCTAATGGTGGTTAGGAAGTTGTTGTATCCTGAACGTCAACCTGTTGTTAGAAAGTGTCATTAAGTGATTCAATGTGTGATAGCCCAATAATAAACGTCGTCTGGGTCTGGTAACTTGCTTAGAATCAAACCAGCATTCTTCAGATTTGAATTTGAGTACTGTACTGTACTGTAACTTGCAGTTAAAATGAAATCTGTACCTAAATTAGATTTAATATTGAAATTCCAGATTTAAAGGTACAAAATTCAACTATCGTCAGAAACTTATGATTTTTCTGTGTGTGGCAGCATTGAGAGGTCGCGCAGCATCATTCCTGCGTTGATGAATGCCGCAGAGTTTGTCGTCTGCAACAGAGACAAGGACTGTGAGGTGAACGTTCCGTACTTCTACTCACTACTGTTCACCAGCCAGAACCTCAGATTAGTCCACATCGTGTGTCATGACAAAGGGAAACACCACTCCGCTCAGTGTGATCCCAACATGTTTACTGTCAATGTTCAATGGTAAGTTGATTCTGGATACCAAAGTAGACGTCCCACCTTCATGGACCAGTTGTAGCCAATGTATTCAATAAATAACACCCCTGCTGCAGCAAACCTGCCTAAGCGAATTTCCATTTACACTACTAGATTCCCACTACAATATTCCATTAAGTTGTCAGATGTATTTCCTTTCTAAAATAGTCATTAACATTAATTTCAATAGGTTAGGTTTGCAGCTACAGGGAAGCAAATGAGGTGTATTTTTTATACAGAGTGGCGCAAAAAGGATGGTCGGATTTGAACTGCGTAGTATTAGTAGTTGGGGGGAGGTTCGGGTCCACTACTGGCCGTCTGTTAGTCGACCGTGGTACCAAATTTGCAGTGATATGGTGCAGTGGACAGTGGAACACTGCATTTTAGCTGTGGAACAGTTTTTTTTTCAGAAACAGTGAATCTTTTATTTCTTTGCAACGGCTGTTTCGACAACATTTTGGCGTAGCCCGTATGGGACTGGTTCCTATTCGCAGATCACATTACGTTGGGTGACTGCATCTCGGACAACAGGGTCCGTCGTGGTAAATCTACTGGACGGCAGTTACTCGACAAAACATGGAGACCGTATGAGCATCAGTACTTCAAAGTCCACTACTTTCTATTTATATATTTTAAAATTTTTTTATGGTTTTATCAACATAGCCTACTAGCAAATTTGTAACTTACAAGGTTATTTTATGTAATAGGGAGTTTGAAAGTGGCCAGAAACGTAAGTCAGTAAAATTTATGTGTAAAATCATTTGTGTTATGTTTATTTTAAAACCTACCATCCTTTTTGCGCCACCGTGTAGAAATGTTGATAGCTTAGTAATGAACAAAATTGCCCAATTTGATTAAAATATATCCACATTCAAGCAAACTACAACAGCTTAAACTGTTACAGCACAGAATATTGTATGCCCGACTATTTTATGTTCAAATCACTAAAAAGAATTGTCTTATCAGTAGGGGTGTGCGAATAGTGATTTTCAACCTCGAGCCGAGCCGAGCTTTTTCAAAAATTTTCGAGCTCGAGCTTTTTCGAGCCGAGCTTTTTCTAGCGTCGCCTTATCTAAATTATTAAACTTTTTTTTTCTTAAAAAGGTGCATAATAATAATTGTTAAGTAAATTTTTAAATAAACACAATGTTATTTTAATATGTTTAAAAGAGAATTGTCAAGACATCAAATAGTAGATAATCACGATAAGAACTGAACTGAACTAAATTAAGATGCAAGAAATAAAAGGATAATTGAAGGCCTGACGAGATATGCAGTGCAGACTGAGACAATCAGATTGTCTTTCATAACAGAACAGCAACGCGACCTTGAAACAACTAGCAAGTCGATTACATTATTATGTATATTGTAACTACTATGAATATTTAATTCTATTTTGTATAAATAAATACAAAAAAAATTTTAAAACACACGTTATTATTCTTGTTGTTTTCCATGCACAAAATATTTTAGTTTTATCAATCGTATTAATCAAAAAAGAACATAGTTGGTTTGGATCCAAAAAGGTGGAGAGACAAGTAAAAATTAAACTTGCATATTAAAAAAGATATAATTGACATATGGAGGAAATAGACCAAAAACACTAAAATTAATAGAATAACACACAAAGTAAACAAGAAATGAAATAAAGAACACTATGAATTAACACTGTCACTAAATTTTGTTATCTAGAAGGGTCGGCGAACTAATCAATAAATAGCCAAAACCAGTTTCCTCCCCTTCTTGCAGTCTCACCACCACCCCTCCCCCCTAAACCGGGAGGCCCAACACTTTGTCCTTGAAACACCCACGTCCATTGTACCCCTATGAAACAATTAACCCTTACACCCGTGTTGCTGTTTTGACAACAGGTTTATGAATGCGATCACTATTTTTCATTTTCCAGAATTAACTATCAATTATTATTATTTGCTAGTTACAAATAGGAAACTACATCACATTATGGTATTCAATGACCCATGTATTATTATCAAAAATTAACTATTCATTACTTATTTTGATATCAAAATAAGTATTAATAAAAAGCATTCACTACAGCACGCACGACTTATTGATACATATAATCATCAAGGTAACTGTTACTTTATACAAAATAAAATACCCCCGCCGCAGCAAACCTGCAGACTAAGCGAATTTCCATATACACAGCTGGAGTTCCACTAAATTGTTCCCTTAAAATTGTCAGATTTATTTCCTATTTAAACATCATTAATATTGATGAGTACTTAGGTTTGCTGCTACAGGGAAGAAAATAGGGGGGTTTTATTGAAATATTAATAGCTCAGTATGAAGTAAACAAAATTTCAAAATTTCATTAATATATTATGTCCATACACAAGCAAGCTACAACACTGTATTTATTCTCCATAAGAATAACATGGTAATTTTAAATTTACATTATTTTGCGATTTTTCCGTAACCGTTAGGCATGCAACAATGCTTCAATATACTAAATTATTTGTTTTTTTGAGCTCTACAAAATTGTTTACAAAGAAATTACAAAATTTTATGTTTTCAGGGTGAAAAATTAGAAAAACCCATTTTTACCCCATAAAACCCCCCATAAACCCCTGTTCCCATAGTCTGATCATGCTGGTTCGCGAACTCGTTCGAATAAATGTAGGTTTACACGTTTATACCAAATTTCATCAAAATCGGATCATTTTTGCTCGAGTTATCGCGCTAACGGACACATATATAAATATATATATATAAATATATATATATAAATATATATATATATATAAAAATATATATATATATATAAATATATATATATATATATGAATTTGAACGGATGGTGTTTTTGGCCTCTGGGGACCTCAAAACGAAAAACTAAATCGGTCCCGGGTCCAGGTCTTACCATGAGACCTACGGTAATAGCTTATTCCCTATATGGGAAATTCGCTAAAAGGTACACAATTGTGTGGCCAGTCAAACTTTATAAACAAACATTTTATTCTATAAAATACATATGGTAAATAGGAGTTGGTTTAAAGGAAATAAAATACAAAACAGATAATTAATTATTTTGATAAACATTAGAAAGGTTATAGGATTGATTGAACTAAAATAACTGCAGGTAAACTTATAAATAGAAAAGTCTTCAACCACAATCTGTTTAATCAGTACATTGTTAGAGAGAGAGAGAGAGAGAGAGAGAAAGACAGATAGCAGATAGGGGCGTTTGATAAGGAATCTGAAAAAGTAAACAAACAAGGAACAACTACACGACGATACTCGTTTACAGCCTTATTGTGTCGCCCACTACATTTGCACATGTGACCACTTTTTGTTTCTTCCTTATCTTTCATCCGTCCCAAAATAGAATTCCTGAAATTGTTTGTTGGTATAATCTCCCCTCCCACACAAGGCGCAGTGCTCAGTGCGCACTGTAGGTTGTCACGGCAACCGTGTGTCGTCATAGCAACAAGCCAATCACGCACTCGCACTGCGTTGTATTAATGCGATACGAATAGCTGTTAGAAAGACAACGCGATAGGTGGTTGTTTGTCTCTTTCCTATCTCCTCAAAATTACGATTGATAATCATTGCGTCTTGACTGAGCTGAGGTTTGTGCTTATCAAACCTCGAATGCACAATGTAGAATTGTGATAACATTGTTTTCAATTATGACCCAAATTAAGTGTTTTGTCTTAGTATTAAAAGCTCGGCTCGAACTTCGAGCTTTTTCAAAATGCCTCGAGCCGAGCCGAATAATGAAAAGCTCGACCAAAAAGCTCGAAGATTCGAGTACTCGCACACCCCTACTTATCAGTATCATTAGTCATGTCTCTTAACGTTGTACCCGCCACGCGTTGTTACTGAAAAAATTAACTTACTATACACCCTGTACTGTAAAAATTCTGCTATCTCTCTTTTGTATAGGTACTGAATTGTTGGATATTACATAAAGTATGCTATAAATTACATAAGGAAAAGGTTAATAAATACATGTCTAACAATGAATGTATCCACTGAATCTTCAATTTTTTGTTTCAGCAAAACCAAAGACTCGCCGAAAAACAAGAAAGAATGTGGTGAAGGACGAACATTGGTCTGTGCAAAATGAGGTTAACTAGGTTTTGAAGAACCTGAAATAACTGAGTTAGTTAAATGTATAGATTTGACTAGACATTCCATCCCATGTTAAAGTTGTCATCAGTTTTTAAAATCAAAATGGACATAGTTGAAGTGAGCAACTGACAGATTGCGCTGTTGTAAATGAGCAATTTCTGTCAAATACAAAGGGACGGGTGGCGTCGTCCTGTAATCCAGCTACTAGGAGGTCACGAATTATGGATATTTAATAGTAATGCACTCTGGATGTGTTACTCCCTGGTGTGGATTAACGCCCGCACTAGTGAGTACTACGACTATCCACAGTACTATCCTGATAATTAGACCAATTCATCAATACCAAGGCAAAAATGTATTCGGATTCCACTATTAACTCTAGGTCCCTGAGTTGCCATTTGCTGTATGGGATATAAATTAACAGCTGTGTCTAAGGAATATGTCGGTCTTAGTCACTAACAAGACTACAACCACTCATCCTACGTTCGTCCTTCACTCATATTTGGGATAAAATATGCACATAGTAGTGGCGTCCCCATCTTAAATAATTGATTGATTGATTGATCAAATAGGGAGGTGAGTGACCATCCTAGCTATCAGTCTGACCATAGACTAACCAAAACAAATAGACTTCTCATCCCATTGTAAATTTTGAACCTGGGTAACAAAATTTTGTTACTTTTATTTTAGGGTTAATTTCATGATTTGGGCTTTACTGTTTGGTTATATAACTAGGGAACGAGTTATTGTTTATGATTATATCATTTTATTTGGTAAAACAATATTTTAAATGACTGAAATAACAAGAAACAAATTGTAAACAAAACATGACCACTACAGTGCACCGGACAGAACTAACAATAAAATTGGCTTCAGCTGTTCCATAAGGACGATTAATACTCCCCATACTAGCGGAGTATGTTTTATCTATAGTTTGACTGGGTTCAAAAAGAATTCTAAATAACAACCATTGATTGTTAATACACATTGTTAAACGTATTGCTTAAACATTTGTTCTATTTTGATAGAATTTTTTCATTCTTGGTGGAAGATAGTCCAAAACTGTTGAGTATTATAGATATGTAAATCATTTATACTTACGTCTAGGTATTTATCTAGACGTAGAAAAAAAATATTCTGCATTACAAGGAATCAATTGAATAAATAAACAATTTTATATGCATGTTATAGCTTTAGTTTTTAATGCACAGTTAGGATTGTGCAATAAAAAAATGAATTGTTAACGTGCCAAATTGCTATAAAAATCTAGACAGATTTTACAATTAAAATTAATGTGATAATTAGTCATTAGGAAATAAGTACGGATATATGGTGAAGATATTTATATTTTTAGGAGTGAGCGAGCACTCAAGTTATCATGCTTTTAATCAAGTATTTCAAGAACCAATATCGTCTTACTGTCTTGACTGCTCTACATGAAAACTTGAGATACTATCAGAGTTTATTAACCCTTTCAGTGCTATGAAACGATATATCGTTGTTTGAAAAAAACCCTAAGGGATATAGAGAGGAAGGTTATTTAAAAAAAAAATAGCAAAACGGCCATTGGTGACCTGCATGTTCATAGGATACACTACCAACCACTTAGCTAAAAGATTCGCCCAATCCGATGATTTCGAGGTGTATGTCTAAACCAAGGATTATGAACACCTCACTATGCCCAAGTGGTTGTAGTATATCGCTACAAACACACAGGTCACCAATTATTTGCCACACAGGACGGGATTCGAACCCGAGCAGACGAATGCCACTGGCCAAGTGACACACGCCCTAGCCTTCTCGGCTATCTGTGCTTGAAGACTGGGGAGTCAAAACCCGGTATTTAAGCTGTCGCCACCGATTGCGAACAGATGGCGCTGCAGATGGTTGTTCAATGCGTTACTAGGTAGCAGCACCAGCTAGTCACGGACTATTTAGATGCAATCTTTTAGTTTTAGTAGTAGTAAATGTGTTCCTGAGACTTTGCTGCAAAACATTAGTTTCCCTAAAATTGCTATATTACAATAACCTCGTCCAACTAAATCAGGGTTAAATTCAATATTAAATTGTAAACTATATGTCTTCTTTTGATTTTGTGAGATTTCGGTTTCAAATAATGCTATCAGAACATAAAAATGTATAGGAAAACCAGGAAAATTACAACAAAAACTAAGTTTTATTTGATGTTTACTACAAATACCGGGATTTATCTTTCTTATATATTTTCTTATTGTGTTATTATTCAAAATTAGCCTAATTAATAAAATAGTGACAACATGACAGTTAAAATTCAACAACGTGTAATGGAATTAAAAGGCAAACAAAAAAGTCTTACAAAATATGAATTATTGGCCTAGCACTGAAAGGGTTAAGTTGGCTTGTTAGAACTATCATTGTGTCAAACCTATTGCTTTCACTTTTTGTATGATCTATTCAGTGATTTGTATCATATTTATGATTGATATAGTAATTTATTGTATATGTCAAACTTTTAGTTAAAAAAATCCATTAAGATTTTTAAGACTTTTTAACTATCCTTTTTAATATATTTTGTATGATTTGTATTTATTATTATTTTTATCAGTTATATCTCAATATATTGAGTATTATAATATGTAGTAAATATTTTTTTGGTGCTTTTGGTAAGTGTCAAAAGCTGTAAATATTTATTTATTTACTATATTTATTTATAAATTTTTTGCTTGGTAACTAATATTTGACGATCAAAACATTGATTAATAAGACCTTTCAAAGATTTCCAACATGTACTAATTGTGCTTCCGTAATTAGTTTAATTTCAATTTTTATATTGCTTTTTTCCTCCCACGACCCAATAGATGAAGTGCCTTTGTAAACAATACTAAACCCTTTGGTTGAGAATTACTAGATAATCAAAATTTGAACTTTTACAATCTGTAAAGTTCCAGATCTGATTTAGTAGATTGAAACTGTATTGTATATTGTAGTTAAGATATTTATTTTGTAACTATTTTAGCAATTGTTACCATGATGTGAATAAAGAATGTTAACAAATCCAATAATTTTTGGAACTATCCTTTATTTTATGATGCCTTTATGAGCACCGACTCCTTCATGTTAGAGAAAGGTTTACAAATATTGATGTTAACACTAATAATAAGAGAATTTTACATGTTTTTAAGGAGGGGTATTTTATCATTTTTTTGACATGGAGAATGCTACTAACCGCTCTCATAGCCTTATTATTTGGACGTTGATGTTATGAACGCAAACCCAACACAGTCAGTGGCTGTGTCTTGGGAGGATGAATCGCACGTAGCTAGTTGTTGACCGGCCAGTTACACTACTTCCCACTGCAGTGATCACTGGCTAGAGGCTAGCTCATGCGACTTCTACAACAATAGTACTTCTCAATGTTAAATCACAGCACAGATTTGTACAGCCTCTGGGGACAAGTAATGTTTAAAAACTGGTGTCTAAGGCTAATACGGTAGTCCCTTCCCAGCTACAAGACAACATGGCACAGTATCTGTATGCAAGGACAATACCTTTGGCATAGGCTACACAAACTTACTAGAAAGGATAAAAGGAAAGGCCTTTAATTTGTTACAACAGTAATTGAAAATTGATGTGAAAGTACTTTCTCTAAACCCAGTTAAACCAAAATAAGTCTGGAAACTTGGGGGAGTACAACAGACACAGAAAAGGGTGTGCAATGACATTGTAAAACTTGAACACCTCATGATTCTTAAGTAAGTCAAAAGTTGCCGTTAGATTTATGAAAGCAACAGGGGTTTTTGAACTCGTCCTCATTCAAATGGTCAGGACTGGACCTTGATAACAGTAGTTATGTTCTGGCCTAACCAGCTTGTTGGACCGGTATGCCTTGATGGAAGATAGATTGTACATTCTATCAAGTATTACTTTAACATGGTGCTCATAAAAGCCTGCTTAACCCTCAGTGTTAAAACCAGGTATGAGGTACGTTATAACTAAACCTGTATTACTATATTGTGGCATCTTACAACTGGGCAATCATAGGTGTTAAAGGAGGCCACTCAAATTTGTTTGTTTAACACAACCTGTAGATTACGAGGAGCTTAATTTTCGCTAATGACAGTAATATCTTACTCTGCACACTTCTACCACGAAGACTACAATAATAGCTACTTCCAGAGGGGATTCAATGATATTTCTGACTTAACTGCATAATGGAAGAATTTGGTTAAAAGAAAAACGAGTGCATTTCAGATAAGGATGCTATATTTATGTTGCTTTGGTACCCTGTTGAGGAGAAGTCTGCCGTCGTAACTGAGTGAGGCGAAGCACCAAGGATCCGCTGACGACCACTCCACGCAATAGACGGAGTCTTCATGTTGGTCATAAGTTGCCAGCACACCATCGTCTAGTCTTACCTGAAAACAAGTTTTTGTAGTCTCACTTATTAATATTCCCATAGCTACACTGTGGGAGGTTTTTCATTGTTGTGTTACCAGAGCTTATTTATGAATTCATATTGATGCACATACCTGTTTTCTGTGACAGCTCCGACTCATCCACAAGGGCATTAAAATAATTTTAACATGGCTATTTACGAAGTTGTCAAGCACTCATGTCAGTGCACTGTCACCAACCGTCGCATTAGTGAACTAAGGCCTAGTGGTATTCTTTAGTTTCCTGTTTTTGTGTTGTGTTATGTATTCTTTAAGAGTCAATTTTCCTTGACGACATCACAAGATATTATTTTAACCTTGGCGAAAAAAGGACAGGTGACGGATATATCCGCTTATGGTTTTTGATGTTCCGGACAGGAAGCGGATATGTCCACCTTCTCTTCAGACAGACTGGCAGGTGCTTGAGCAGTAAGCAGATGTTTGGCGGTACCAAGGCGCCACTTTCCTGCTCCCTCCATGGCTGCGCTCTCTCCCGCACTCCCCCCTCTCTCCCGTGCCTACCCCACTCCCGCACCTCCCCCTCTCCCGCACACCACCCACCTCTCCTACGCTCCCCCCTCCATGTTTCGCGCTCAACACTATGTTGTCTTTATTTATTGTATACATATTGTTCTTTATTTATTGCCTAACGTTGTCATGGTCATATCTTCAAAGTGGGGGATATATCCGCTGCTTTTCTACTCGTCTGCGGGCGGGTAGCGGATATATCCGCATAGTTAAAAACGAGTAAATGATTATTTTGACAGTATGAAGTGTTCCATTGTGTTTATTTTATGTATACTTGTATAACAAAATGCAAATAAGGAAAATAATTTTTTTTTTCCTATATTTTTTTCCCGTTCTATGTCACGATTTTGCCCGCCCGGGAAGGGTTAAGACTCTGAAGTAGGATGTGATATGGTTCAATAGAGGCCAAGACCCGGCATAGAGTATGAAGTCAAATCAGATATATAACATGAACTTGATATGTACCTTAATAGACACAAATAACCTCAAATGAACTAAGAAAAAAATTCACAATTTAGCGGATTACAATTTTTTATTATTCGAACTCATTACTAACACGAAATCAAACAAAACACAATCATGTTTGCATTAAAAATCATGGATCGCTCAACTACAACAAATTTTTACTACTAGAGGTAATGGTTTGTTTGTCACTGACTAAACTTAAACCGTGGTGCAACATGAGTATTATTTTGAATTAATTTGCCAAATGAGACATTTCCATGCCAACACAATACACACCTTGCTTTCATCGTCCAGTGGTTCGCTAGCGATGGACGCGACACTGGTAAGCAGAACTACACAATCACTGCTGGCTGTGACCACCAACTGATCGTGAAAGTGATTGTACCTGGACAGACAAAATACAATAACTTCCTCTTATAACCTAAAGTGGCACTCGCATAGAACAAAGCAGCACTCTGAAATGCATCAACCCACTTTGTTGCTCATGACAGTTAAAATCGTTAACTAAAAATAGAAACAGATGTTTCATACCCAATGTTTAGGTTGGGGCCGGGTTCAGAATAAAAATGATCACAGTTGAATAAACCCGAGACAATGTAAGATGATGTAAATAAATCTTGCATATAATCAAACGTTTTAACCAAGAGAAACTGAAAAACCAGCTCATTGTAAACTAAAGAATATTTTACAAGCACAAGCAATTGTGAGTGAACTTGGGTAGTTTTTTTTTTTATTTGCTAAAAGGCTAAGTTGTAAGTAGCCTGCAGAGTCAACTTTTTCCAGAGCTTGGCCAAAACTCACAGGGCTAGCCTACGAGATGCGTTTAAAAGAGCCATGCAATGGAGCCTAACTACACAGTTCTATAATATTGTTCACAAATTGACTATTAAATTATTCAAATAACAAAACTTATAAACCACCCAAGGAACCAATGATTCTGCAGCCATCATATTTCCTAAATTTCTGCAGTATTTCATAACTGTACGGACCACAACATACCTGAGACACCATACCCAATGTGAGTGGTCGGATCTTACGATGACAGGTTCAGTAGGCCTACGCACGTCCCAGAACTTGGAGCAGCCGTCGTCGCCACACGTGCCTACGTAATACTGTCTGTTGGGGTTGAAGTCCAGGTCCCTGGTTGTAAACACAAGCTTGTATAATGTCTACAGTTGGAAAATGTAATCACGATAGACCTTCTCTTAAACAAGCCTTCTTCACTTATCGCTCGGATTAACGACCTCTGCCCAGGCATATTACGACGGGGATAGTTTAAGTTAACATAAAAACTGGTTGGCTTAACTGTTTTTTTCTAAAGAATGTGGATAATCCCATCACAGTAATAATATTTAATCCTAACCAATTTTTAAGGGCTGTTAAATACATACAGGTGGTAGTGCTTGTAGGACAGCATACTAGTGTAGCCTACTCCTCTCGGAATGGATTGTAGCATGGTTAGTATGTGGGTTTGACCAATTTGATTCTCTTTTTCTTTTTTTTTTGTGTTCGTTAAGTTTTGTGTTACATGCAAATTTTGAACTGTTTTCGTATAAATGTTTCTCTGCAATGGGGCAGAGATGGTATAAAAGCATATATATAGTGAAAATTTTGACTTACCTTACCAGTTGAGAGTGA